TGAGGTGAAACATGTTGGAACTGGTTGTCACCCAGTCACAGAGATGTGTGTTGTGATATGTCTGTCCCCCATGTTGTGAAACAGTTGCCTCTCACCCGTGTTTGGACAGAGGAACTTGTTCCACTTTGAGGAGAATTAATGATCTCAAAGTGATCAGTTATTTTTTTTTATTGTTTATTTTGGGGAGAGGGGGGGTGTTATTCTCATCTTTCTGACCAGAAAGAGTTACATGATGTTATTCTGAAATATTTAAAAGATAAGGAGCCGTTTCCTGTCGCTCTCTCTGCTCACCTCATGGCCGATCAATTAAACACACCAGACGTCACAGAGTGGGCAACAAACATGAGCACATTTATTATTTCCCCAGCACTGATTTTCAATCAATAACGCTGCCATTCGGTCCAATTTATCTGTCAAGGTCTGAACTTTAAGCCCATTGAGTAAATACTCAGCGTAAAGTCAGTTTTGGGTGACGTGTCATCGGTTTCAGGGAACAAGAACTGATCTATAAAGTTGCTTGATGTTGTTGTTCTCCTCCTTCTCTCCCCTACACATTCAGGGAAAAGGAAAGTTTTAAGTTAAACCATTTGCGTGGGCCGTTTTATTTCTTTTGTATTACACACAAGGATATCCGTTTGATAAAGACCAGGTTTGTCAACATAAAACTGAAGACTATCTTATCTTACGAGGGCAATAATGCACCTTTCACTTGGAGTCATAAAGAAATTACAATCAGTAGTAGAACACCCACGTGACTGTTTGAAGTCATAAGAAATACTACTACTACAGTACAGTGACAAAAACACCTTGAAGAAATCACCTCCTGCTAAATGTTCAAGCATGACTGACAGCACCATATGTTTGACTTCACCAAGGAGCTATATGATTTACTATGCTGTAGGACATTCATAGCCAAGCATAATTTATGAGTTGTCTTTTCGCCATCCGTTCTTACATGTCAGTAAATATTTAATTAGAATTTGTTGGCAAAAATGTTTTGGCAAAAAAAACACTGGTGGTGGTCTGTGCTGCTAGTGCTAAACACTTCCCCCCCTTGACCCCTTTTAGAAACAGGTGGCCATGCAGGGTTTTGGAGCCCTTGGGGCCACAGGGAGGAATGGCCTCTAGTAACTTGTCATAAAGTGCTCCCTCTCTGATGTACAGTCTAATTGGTGCTTCCAGTTCACTGGCTTCATTGGGTTCATTAAAGATGGGGGATGGGAGTGCGACTCTGTGTCTTCCGCATATTCATTTTTGCCAACGGGGTCATAAACACTGGAAAATTAGATTTCTATTGTGATTATTAACTTGGCATATCAGCAGCAGCTCCCTGATAAAGCCTGATAAACGCAGGCTGCACTGCTTACACACTTATCGTAAGTATCAGTAAGTAACCACAAGTCAGTATCCCTGAGTTGTGGTTCAGCCATTTATCTGCCCTGTTTAAACAAGTACCAACAGGCACGTGTGTGGCTGTTCATGTGTCTGTCATGCTAGAGTTATTGCCTCCCAGCCCCTTTCTCCTCTGGCAGCAGATTTATAACCACCTCGCAAACACTGAAAAGACATAGCACCTCCCATAATGAAACCCAGCTTGGGAGGCACAAGTGAACTAAAACTAACTTTCTTTACATTACCTGTGATTTGTGACATGAGGCAATGCTGTATCTGCCCTGAAAAAAACAAAACATGGCTGTTTGTGTGCTGACCACAAAGGTTTTTACAAATTACTACAACAACTGTTGGATGGATTGTCATTAGATCTTGTACAGACATTCATGGTCCCCAGAGGAAACCTAATGACTGTTGTTCCCCAGTACTTACCCCTAGCGCCACCAGCAGGTTGACATTTTAATTTTAGTGACATGTCTTGATAAGTATTGGATTGGATTGCCATTCGGATTGGAATTTGGTACATATATTCTTGGTGCCCAGAGGATGAACTCTACTAACTTTGGTGACTTTTTTGTTTGTGCCTCTGTGAAGTTGTCCAGCACTACTTTGGTGATCCCATAACCTTTCTGTTAGCGTCATCATCAGGTCAAACTTAAATTTGTCCAATACTTAATGATCAAATATCCTGCATCAGCCTCATCTGTACTTTGTGTTTAACTCTAAATAGCATATGTTAGCATGCAAGCACACTGAACTAAGATAGTGAACATTATACCTGCCAAACATCAGCATGTTAGCATTTCATTCGCACTGCTGTGCTGAAGTGCAGCTTTAAAGAGCCGCTAGCAGCCATGCCTGTGTTTATGGGGGTATCTAAAACAAAGGCCCTTTTAGCTGAACTGTTTTTATCTGTCTTTGTCTGTCATAGATGCATTGACAACATGTGGAACCAATCAGTTCCAGTGTGGGAATGGGAAATGCATCACAGTCAGATGGGTGTGTGATGGCACAGATGACTGCGGAGACGGCACAGATGAACTTCCTGGTACCTGCAGTGAGTATAATGTGACGTCATTGCTTTGCATACCTACATGTGAATCCCACAATCCCCCAGTCTGATGATTATGTCGTCTAAGTTACCGTTTTTTGTGTATTTCACTTCCAGTGGCCAAAACATGTAGACCGACAGAGTTCAGCTGCGCGGACCGCCTTAACCAGTGTATACCGAGCACATGGCGCTGTGATGGAAATGCCGACTGTGAGAATGGAGCTGATGAAGAGAGCTGTGGTAAGTTGAGTTAACTAAAGGCTGCAAGAGGGCCACACATCGGTTTTACCATATCCTCAATCATATGTGATTTACCTTTTTTTATTGCTCGCAGCTTTCGTCTCCTCCCATCCTCCCTTCTCCAAAGTGTTCCTGCTCTTTCATTACTCTGATCGCCCCGTTGTGTCTCCTCTCTCTTAGCGCCAAAGCAGTGCACAGACAACGAGTTCCGCTGCAGGAACGGCCAGTGCGTGTCGTCCTCCTTCGTGTGCGACGATGAGGCGGACTGTGACGACGGCAGTGATGAGGCCTCCTGCCCACCCGTCACCTGCAGCCCCACGTCTTTCCAGTGCAACAACACCGTTTGCGTTCCCCGCCTGTGGGCCTGCGACGGTGACTCCGACTGCCCCGACGGCTCCGACGAGTGGCCCCAGAACTGTGGTACCCAGAGACCTGACACTGCTCCCACTCATCAGTGCACATCCCTGGAGTTCAGCTGTGGCAGCGGAGAGTGCATCCACGGTAGCTGGAAGTGTGACGGAGGAGCTGACTGCCTCGATCGATCTGACGAAGCTGACTGTGGTGTGTATGGTTGCAAAATTCTTCTCTCTTCTTAACTTTCAAGTCATCACCTCTTGTACTCATTTCAAACGTCTACCCTTTGCATTCCTCTAGCTCGGCCCACCTGCCGTCCTGATGAGTTTGAATGCGGCGATGGCACTTGCATCCATGGTAGCCGCCAGTGCAACCAGCATTACGACTGCAGGGACATGAGTGATGAAATTGGCTGCGTCAATGGTATGAACCTCCTCCCCTACCCATTCCCGTCCTGGTCGCTAGCAGCCGCATGAACTCTCTCGTCTGTGTTTCTAACTGAATCTTTCATTCCCATGTCTCTTCCACAGCGACCCACTGTGAGGGCCCAACCAGGTTTAAGTGCCGCAGTGGGGAGTGTATTAGCATGGAGAAGGTGTGTGACAAGCAGCGTGATTGCAGGGATTGGTCAGATGAGCCTCTTAGGGAATGTGGTGAGTACAGAGGCCTCTCCCCATAACTGTCTGGTTAATTACTACTTTAATGCATTTAATGATGGTGTCTGTAGCCTCAGAATGTCAGTTACTGTATGCCGTCAGAAAAAAAGATGGTAAACCTTTTCTTCCACCTTCCTCAGGCTCCAATGAGTGCCTGTACAACAACGGCGGCTGCTCTCATACTTGCAATGACCTGAAGATCGGCTACGAGTGCCTGTGTTCTGCTGGATATCGCCTGGTTGACAAAAAACGCTGTGAAGGTAACATCCTCCCACACAGATACAATTATAAAATAGTCAATGTGCTTTTTATCTCTCAGTCTTCATGCCAACGTGGACTTCAGTCAGATTAAGAAACGATGCCAAGCGATCTGTTTACTCTGACGCAAACTTTGTCACAGACTGTCCTGTCAGATAAAGACAAAAAATTCGTACTTCTTATGGACACAGTGACTCAGCATTGCTACTGTTTCGTTACACTCATGTGTGTTTAATGTAATTTGTGTTCCTTTTTCTTTGTATCAGATATCGATGAGTGTGCCAACCCGGACACCTGCAGCCAGATCTGCATCAACCAGATAGGCAGTTACAAATGCCAGTGCGAGGAGGGTTACCAGGTTGACCCAGCGACCAAAGCCTGCAAGGCCATCGGTAAAGCTCTCTGAGTCTTTCTGGCATTATTATGTAACAGATGTTCAAAGATGATGTCTAACTAGGATTAGCTGTGTATGTTTTATGGGTCTCATTGTGGTGATGATAAATGACGGGACTGTCAAAACTCACTCTGTACGTAACTCAGTGGTTTGAATCACAGCACAGAGTAACTAAAGTACAGAGTCACAGAGTGAGCAACGGCTAACAACATCTCCACACCATCTGGCATACTGCCTATGTGGCCACTGGAACTGAAGTGATATATTATGAGCTATTTTTAGTGCCGACCCAGACCGACACTGTTCCAATGAAATTACAGTAAACAAAATTCACACTGCCTGGAAAACAAATAAAAAAACCACCTCTTAAACCTACATTTCTTCTTTTTGGTAATTACAACTTTGATCAAACGGTACAACGCTTCCTTGAAAAATGTCTTTCAAATTTCAGTTCAACCTTTGGGGTGGATCTAGAGGAGTGTTAAAGGCTGTCACATTTAACTCATTCATTTAGATTAATTATAAAAACAATGTGAAATTAATTTGATGATCAATTATGGCCACATTTCAGACTAAGTGATAGGCTTAAGTTGAATGAAAAAGAAAAGAATGGAATAATGTAAAAAGATTTGGAAACAAAACAATTAATTGATTTCTGATGCCACTTTTAGATATATCTTTACAAAAATGCAATAATAATGTTTTTGAGTAAAATGTTTTCATATATTGCTTTTCCAAGCAAGTCTTCTGGACCTAAAACAAACATAAATTGAAACAAACAAACATACATACAAACATAATCTGATTTTGTAGGTACAATAGCCTATCTTTTCTTCACCAATCGTCATGAGGTCAGAAAGATGACTTTGGACAAAAGTGAGTACACCAGAGTGATCCCCCGTCTTAAGAACGTTGTGGCTCTCGACATGAACATGGCCACCAAAGAGATCTACTGGTCAGACATCTCACAAAAGAAAATCTACAGGTAAGCAAGAATGAAACCAGAATGAAAGTGGTGTTTTTCTTTGCTTTATTCCTGCGTGACACCAGCTCTTCACTTTCAATCCAGAGCTCAGATGGACTCGGCTGAAGACTCCACTCATCACAGCACGGTCATCAGTAATGACATCGACGCTCCTGAAGGCATCGCTTTTGACTGGATCCATGGTAACCTGTACTGGACCGACAGCATTCGCAGCACCATCTCCGTGGTAACCACTGACGGTAGCCGCCGCAAAACTCTCTTCCACCAAGGTTTATCTAAACCCCGTGCGATTGTGGTCGACCCACACACCAAGTAAGTGATATAACTAATATAACTAATAAAAGCCTAAATCCTACCCAGACTCTCTAGGATTGTATTGATTACAGTATTTTATTTTTTTATAATATTTTATTTACAACATATCTGTGTCCTCCCAGCTTCATTTACTGGACTGACTGGGGGAATCCCGCTAAGATTGAGAAAGCAGGCCTTAACGGAGGAGACCGCACCGCTCTGGTTACTGACAACATCGAGTGGCCTAATGGGATTACACTCGGTAAACATTCATGTCTCTCTGGTTTCAAGTTGTTTTTTTTATCCATTCATGTCAATGCCAGGGGTCACTCCAGTCTGACCTGTCGACCCCCCCTCCCGTTATGCTTCCTCCCCAGACCTGTTGAACCAGCGGCTCTACTGGGTGGACTCTAAGCTGCACACCCTCTCTAGTATCGATGTGCAGGGCGGTGGTCGACGCACCCTCATCATTGACGAGCACAAGCTGGCTCACCCGCTGGGACTCACTGTGTTTGAGGTAGATGTTTACCACCTGATAAGCTCTGTTACACATAAACCCAGAGCCTGTCAAATACAGCATGCCATAAACTCCTCACTGCATGTGTAAACAGTAGTATTGCTCACTGCTGCTACTACTGTCCCCAAGTCTTAAAGTTGAAGCTTGGTTGTTTTTTTGTGCTTCTAGGAAAGTGTGTTCTGGACAGACGTCAGTAACAATGCCATCCTCAGTGCAAACAGACTCACAGGTGGTGACATCACACCAGTGGCAGAGCACCTATCGTCACCAGAGGACATTATTCTTTATCATAACCTCAAACAACCCGCTGGTAAGGGACCCCACTCTCACATACTGTCAGAATTCTGGATTTTGTTTTTGAGATTTTTTTTGCCAAAGAAAAACAGCAAATAAGGTGTTAAATAAGGTGATGTTTTTATGACCTAGTTTAACACCAGAAGGCGTGGCAAACTGTTCTGTAAGATAACTTTTACACAAGCAAAGTGGATGTTTGTCCAAACCAATAACAGTCTAAATAATATAGGCTACAGACTATATCGGGGAAACACTGAATATTTGCAATTTTAGGCATGTACATATTGAATATTTGGACAAAATATTCTAGATCAACTCATTGACTTTAAAGGAATTGTTTTGTGAAATATGGCTGTTTGCTAGCCTTAGCGGAGTGTGTTTCAGTATGATAACATTGATAATGGCTTCAAAACATGTAAAGCAGTTAAACTAAACTAGAAAAAAATCATCCTCTTTTCCCTTGCAGGGAGAAATTGGTGCCAGGTATCCGGCTGTGAATTTTTGTGCCTGGCAGCTCCTCAAGTTGGCAGACATCCCCCCAAATATACCTGCGTCTGTCCAGATAACATGATGCTAGCCAGGGATATGAGGACATGTGTACCTGGTATGTAAATTATCAAAGAGCATATGTACTGAAGTACAATATTGAGGTGAAAATTAGGTGAAATAACTTCTGTCTTTTATCTCAATTGTGTTCCTATGTTTCACTCTTCATCTATTTTTGTACTTTGCCAGCTGTGCCAACACCTGCAGCTCCCATGCAGCCTCAAGTTCCAGCAACCATCCCCCCTCGTCAGCCACCAGTGCCAGCCAGCACCACACCCAAGCCCCAGGTCCGCACCACCACAGTGCCTATCCTTATCACCAGCACTGCGGCAAAGCCGGTGCCACGCGCCACCAAGCCTCCTGTGAGGACCACCACACCTGAACCTAGGACCCCGTCCCCCCAGACAGTGAAGCCTAAAATTCCCCAGACCACCACAGAGACTCCAGTTACCTCTCCAGGCAAGTTGAAATACCATAATGGTGGCTTTGTGTATTTTAGATTGTTAAGATATTCAATATCTATAATTTAATTCATATTGTAGAAAGTTCGCTTTCATTCATGTTGACCATTTAAAAAAAAAGGGTTAGATATTAACCAAACATGGACACAGGGGAAAGGATTGTGTGACTAGATAGTTCCTTGTAATAGTTTCCTGCTGGGCAGCTGATTCTCAGGTCTTATCAGGTTGTAGAGATTCCCACAAGAACTTAAAGGCACCACAAAAGAAGTACTTTATTATCATACTACACTGCTCAGATTAACCAATCAATGTTGGTAATCCGTCTAAAAGTGGTTTGTAAGCATGGTATGTTATGGGGAAATAGCTGTCACTAATGTAGAGTACATAGTCTTTGAGGTCAGCGGGATAAAAACGTGCAAAGCCAGCAGCGTGGCCCTATGAGTGCGTTGCTTCATGTATCATTAACTTCTTTCCTTGTGTTTACCTTTCCCTCAGATTTCCGACATGGATTTGCTGCAGCTATTCCCAACCCTGCCTCCACCACCCCAATAGCTCTCTATATCGTCTTACCTCTGGGTGAGTTGCTTTGTCAGTTCCCGCAACGATGGCTTCTTCACAGAAAATACAAATTATTTGAAGTGATAACACCATCATGTCTTTTCTCCTGCTCCTTGTGTGTAGCGATTGTTTGTCTGGTGGCTGTTGGTGGTGTGCTGCTATGGAGGAACTACAGGATGAAGAACACCAACACGATTCACTTTGACAACCCCGTCTATCAGAAAACCACTGAGGACCAGGTGCACATTTGGAGGAACCACAGCCCTGACGGTTACTCCTACCCAAAAGTGAGTTTCACTTCAACTTAACTGTTTAATTTTACTGAGATAAACCAATATCGATCCATACTACATGTTTTCATCATCTAATGATATCTGATTGGATTCCTCCTTCAACAACAGCACATACAGGCTACAGTTCTTTTATATGTGTCTGACATCCTTTTTATTTGCTCTCAGAGACAGGTTGTGAGCTTGGATGAAGAGGCGGACAATCCAGCCTTCACAGAAAACTGAACAATGTCGGGCAAAGTGGAAAGAAGAGTCTCGACGATAAGCTACCTTAGACGTCCTTTTTTGTATTTTTTACCTCACACAGCACAAAGATATGGAAGTCAAAGCCAATATCAGACAAGCTTGAACTACGATATCCTCACAGATGAACAAGCGCTCTACAGTGGAGAAACCAGGGTGAAACATTTTTTTTCAGGTTGCACATTTTTCATCACATCAAGTGAACAGCTGACAATCCATTCCTCAAAAAATCAAACCAAATCATCAGATGCTGGATTCCTCCGTCTAACTTTTTTTTTTACCTGCTATCCTAACCATGAAATTGATGACATAACTGGAGAACTGGAGTGTCACTGCTAAAGCCAAATGATTTGAAGCAGCGATTTAACTGAGCTCATTTAACGAAAATTCTAATTGGGAATTTCCTCTGACTTGTGTAAGGTAGAATTCACGAATGAGTGTTGTAAATATCAGTCTATTTTTGTTTTAAATTTTATTTCTGAATATTATCATATCTTATTTGCTTTCTCGGCCACTCTCATATTTGTACAGTAAGCTTAGCTCAAACAGTAACCTGACTGTGCCAGGTGGTTTGTCACACAGAACCATCTTGGAAGTCACTGTTCCACATGTTTGGAAAAGGGCAGGCACTTCTAAAAAATACTCAGTAGGGGACTGGAAGAACCATCTGTCTATCATTATTTATCACTTTATAATGCCAACCATATAATGTGGTCAAACTCTTATGAAAGCCAGTCGGGAGAAAATACGAAACATTTTTTCAAGACTTCAGTGCCGTTCTTTCAATTAAGAAATACTCTCCAGTTCTGATTTAACTGGTGCTAGCAGCATCTACGCTAACCTCACTTTTCACACACTGTTAAACACTCAACAACTCATACTGTAGCTGTCAGTAGTTCCTCATAGGATGCTGATTGGTCCGAACAACTGTGGTTTGGACACAAGCCCATAGATTGAAGCCTGCCAAGATAGACTCTCACTTGATCTTGTAGTTTTGTGATCTTGAGAGTCCAGCTGCTTCGCAAGGTTACTGTAAAACTTAAAGGTGCTGATTGGTGGATTTTGTTACCTTTGGACAGAGGCAGACTAACTGTTTCCTTTTGTTTCCAGTCTTAATGGTAAGCTAAGTTTTTTACATTCAGCTCAAGCTCCTGCACAGACATGAGAGTGGAATCAATCTTCACCTTTCCCAAAATGGCGAATGTTTTTGTTGTCTTTTCTCTTTGTTTGTTGGAAACAAGAAAATCTGAACCTGACTTTTATTCCAAGAGAAACACTTGATCGAGCGGATTTAAAGTTGAACATGCAGTAGGTGAATGTAATAAGAAACCTGCATGTGCCAGTTTAACCAGTGTGACCTCAAAAAGTTTCATAATGATGTGTGTGTGTGTGTGTAACTTTGAGTTTAAACCAGCTATGGCCTCAGTAGTGGAGCAAAAATATCACCCGAAAAGACCTGAAGACACTGCTGTAGTTGAGCTCCAAGAATAGATCTGTGCCTTGATACTGTGCTCTGTATTAACTTTCAGATTTTCACAACAACACTGCGTTCTTCAGCAGCTGTTTGTCGTTTCTGAGTTTCAGCTCCATTCTCTTGATTTGTGATCGGCTGTCTGTGCACTGGAGGACCATCTTTAAATGTTCCCTCCCTATGCCCCTCTCGGGAGGACCAGTGCATTCCTCAAAGACTAAAATGCTTTGATGCAACCACGTGTGACCAATGGGGCCGTGTCTAATGCTCTGTATCATGGCATGTGTATATTTACATCCTCCCTTAGGACCAGAACCTCAACTTGCCTTATACCAGCATTCCTGACAAAAGAAAGCCATGTGCCCTATCGTGTTTTTAAAAAAAAAACCACAGTTCTCAGCGGCTGTTTGAGCTCATTTATTTGTATTGCTGACAAATGTGTGCCTTTTTAATGACATATTTTATTCACATGTTCCTGTTGGTGCTATTGAACTCGGTAGAAATGTTTGAAATCAGAGTGTCGGCCTGTTTACAGTGAATTGCTTGAGGCATGTGGCAGTGTTACATGCAGGTGAGGTTACACCTAACAAAGACGTTGTTGTGATGTGGGTTATGACTGTCAAAAGGCTTTTAGGTAGAAAAAAAAGTGCTAGTGAAGCTGTACATAAAGTAATTTTACATTCACCGACTAACAGTGCAGAATAAGCGTGTAAATATAATGTTCATAAATGTACATATTTGGTCTTTACTGTTTTCTGGTAATAATGTCACTCTTTTAGACTTTGTTGTAAACTTTCAACATTTGCTGTACAGAAATAAATGCTTTTATTTATTATAGAATAACTTGTCTGTGTTCAGTTTTTGAAGATGCTGTCTTAATTTACTTTGATTCACATTATTAATAAAAGGATACAGAAAACAATAATAGCTGACAGACTGCTAGACAAGAAGATGTTCACTAGAAACGTGCACAGAAGTATGGGAGCTAAATATTATAACAAGAAAGAATATGAAATTAAATTTGAAATATTTATGAGGATATGCCAAATTATGGGAAATTTGGTCTACCTTAATCCAGTGGGTACTTTTTTGGCTAATGCGCCCCAAAAGCTGTGTCAGACGAGCTTATGCACCACTTCATAGAACCATCACATGTTCCAAAACTGGATGTTAATTTCAAATACAAAAGTTGATACAGTTACAGTGATATCTGGCCTTTTGGTCTAGCCTAAACTTAGCTAATTCCACTGTTTATCTGTAAACTTGGCTAGTTAAACTGTTTATCCATTACTTTTAAAAATAATAATGAAATACTGTTTATTATATATAATTTCAATTTTCAATAATTTCAATTTATTAGCCAACCATTTTAACTGTTACAGCCTACTTTCGCTATCTCAACTGTTTATCTATTAGGTAACTATTTCAGCCATTGTCTTTTTTACTACATGGTGCAAAACCACGTCTCACTTTCCATCTCTGTGTTGTTATCATGCATGGCTGAAATGCTGGTTAAGGTATGTGGCAGATGGAAAGTTTTGAAAAATGTACAGCAGTATGTTCCACTGTTTTCATCCAGTCGCTTTGGTATGCAGACATGGCAGAAAACGTGCAGTGGGGGATTTTTTTTTCTCTCCATTTGGGGCCGGCTGTGCTGTTGTTGCTCTTCTGTGGAACAGACGACCCTATTCCTAGAAAGTCAAGCCATTACAGTGAAAGGTAACACCACTCACAAGTCTTCAACACTGTGAGAAAATAAAAGAAACTACAAGAAAGAAGTTTATATATTCTGAATACGGGAATAAATATCCCTTATAATTTGGTAATTGCTGATTTTTTGATCAGTGGTAATGAATATATAATTTTGAACATCGTCCACTTGAGTAATATAGTAAATTGTCAGGTGATGTGCTTTTTATCAGTCAACAATAATGAAGTGATTTGTAGTTTTTACAAGCAGGAGCAGAGTTAGAGCGCTTCCAATGACTCCTGGCACAGCTTGGAAGACATATTTATCAGCAGTTTGTAATTGTTTACACAAAAAACAAGAATTTTGATTCACACTCTGAAAGGTGTAATGAGTTCTTACCTCTTAAGATCGTCTAACAAAATTACTGTATGTAGCCATAGCTTTAATAAACAATGTTTACCTTCAGTAACTGAAATCCATTTTTTGTGGTAGCTTTAAGAATAAGCCATAACAACAGCTATCAGAGAAGAGAAGGAAAACAGCTTTGTGACCCTCCAGCTCTCAGGTTACACCCACCAGTAGGTATGCCACGTGCAAAGTTCAAGGCTGATGAAGAGCGGAAGTGCTGAGGTGATAACACCAGTCAGGGAAAAGACGCAGTGACACATCTATAGAAAGGAGGGTAAACATATAGATAAGTCGGTATGAACAGGCAGTTCATACCGACTTTCAGAACTCTGTGAGGAATATGTAAATATAATTATTAAAGCAGTTGTATCCATCGTCAATTAGTCCGAACGTTTCGTCAGATCAGTCATCGAGATTCCCGATCCTGCTGGACAATTTGTTTTTGTTTGCACAGACTGCACAAAAAACCTGCTTTTCAAAGAAAAGTTTAATCTGGATCCAACAACATCATTAATCATTAATGTAACCGCAATGGTCAGGTACGACAAGCTGGATCATTCCAGTTACTTCCACGGATGAATGGATTAAATTCTACTGAAGTCATTTTCTACTCACTACACAGAAATCCTTAACATCCTTACTTACTGCGGACTCTTTCTGATTTTGCACATTAGGAGCACACTTTAATTCAATTTATTTACTTTTCAACGTGTATGACTTCATTCATAACCAGTTAAAGCTTATTGTATATATATATATATATTCTGATGACATTTCTGAGCAGGTTCCAATAAATGTTATCTGATGTTGAAGACATGTGCTTTCCCAAAGTGTGAGGATACGACATTACAGGTCACCTGATTCTACATAAACAAAACCAACCAGTCGGCTGCCGAGTCCCTGAACCATTGCTGACCTTTGCTCAGACTGTGAGACAGACCAGCCTTATTTGGGAGGCACACACTACTCACCAGACAAGAGTTTGACCAATGGTGCTACTAACAATATTTGATCAAAGGTGTTCACAGAGTTTTTTTTAATAGCTTTTACTCACTTTATGCTTATTCTTACAACCAGATATCATATTCTCTGAAATGTTGTCCCCCTTAAGCAAGTAAAAAAAAACAAATGCACAAGACACAAATTTGAGTGTAATCAAAAATCCTTGAAACTCAGAAGATTGTATTTCTCCAGAGTCCAAGTGACTATTTGTCCAGCCTGTCCCCAACATTTAATACAATAAGATGTAGGAGGCAATTATATCATGCAAAGATATCTTGGCTACATCCATAGGAAGACAATTTGTAATTTGTCTAAAATGGTGTAGGACTGGGGGGAAAACGGAGACTGAGTATACAGGACCATTGTGTGAGGAGGGCCCACAAAGATACTAGAATGAATAGTCATACATACAGAGAATATCTATACACAGGGACCTATGCCTCTGTTACTCTTGTTTATGCCACACACCAGAGCCATATGTGGATGATCAATATTCTGTGCCCGAAACAGGTCACAGCCTGTCTTCTGATATGACGTGAGTGATATTATTCTGTTTCAGGGGACATTCTCGATGTGCCAATATTGATGCTATCATGAGACATATCTGTGTCAGTGAAGTCAAGTTTATTCTGGGAACTCTTCCAATAGTCTCATTTTGTTTGTCCCAACCTGCTCTTGGGACATGACATTGTAATGTTTGATCTCAGTCATCGCACAACCTCGCCCCTCAGTTCTTACTACGTTAACTAAACATCCTCTGCAATTGTCTGGGAAAGACAAAACGTCCTGTTTGATGAGTAATTCTGCAATCAGACCCACTTTACTAATCAGTTATATCATTTCCCCTTGTGGGATATGTTATTTACACACTTACTGGAAGTGACTGACTAATAAACATTAACAATGATTGAGTTTTACTGTCGCTCTGTGTCAGATATTGTTTTTTGTATTTTGTAAATGGAGTAAAACTAAATAACCCGACGCCCAGTAACAACTTGGTGTTTATAGGGGAAGGTTACAAACACTTGTACTGATGGTGGCCGCTTTTGATCTTCTAAGTTTTCAAAGATAATTAAAGTTAAAGTTAAGGTGATCATCATTTTTGCCCTTTCTCTTGTAATGATGGGAGTTATAAAACTTTTGACTCTCAGTCTAGCTTCTTTACTGCAACAATACATGGTATACCCTAGTTTAAATAAAACATTATGATAAATAAAATGTACTAATGAAATTGAAGACAATAAATTGTAGAAAAAAAAAACAGATAAAAGAAGAAGGCAGTGTATTTGTTCTCAGGGGTTAATTCAAATGTATTTATATGATGTTTTTTCCTGCTGTTCTTTTAAGGGAAACATAAATAAGCAGTGAGTTACACACAAAATGTGCACAAACGAGTTTGTAACCAAAAATGTTGGGAATGTTTTTTTTTAAATAAATTGCATCAGCCTGTCACAGCAGAAACAATTAAGGTTCAAATGATGTGCATTAGTGAAACTGAAAATAACCTTTAAAAAGGTTTTAATTGGAAAACATTAGTATTAGTGCGCCCCCTGCAGGACAGTGTGTGTAATCTAAGACCTGGGCACCGGAAACCACGTGGTTTAGCTGTTCACACGCGCATGTTGCAGCTGGCATGACTTCCCTTCACTAGTGTGTAGTTTTCATTACAGCTTAAAGCTATCTCCTTTCATTTAAAACCATGTCAGACAAGCCGGGGTTGAAAATTAACTCGCAGTTCGCCGTGAAATACGAGAAATACCGACAGAGAGAAGAGCTCCAGAGACGTAAGTGAGACACTGCTGGCTAACTATCAGGCTAACAACCCAACGTGGGACAGTGCGGAGAGCTTTAAGTTGTTTTTCTCTCATGTTATGTGTAGCTTTAATATCTGTGTGTGTCCTGTGTTGCTGTTGTTGTTGCAGTGAAGGACCGATATGGAGACCGAGCTGATGACAGTGACTCTGAGTCGTCTGACTCCAGCTCTGATGACAGTGAAGTGGTTAGCATGGCTGCTGCCTCTGTTTCCAGACTATCAGTGGATACCAGCACCGTGTCTGTGGGTTTAATGGGCTGTCTCTCTTTTATGTATGTATGTATCTCTCCCAGGAGCTGGACCCTGAAGTCGAAAGGGATTTCTACAGAACATTGTCACTGCTGAAGAAGAGAGACCCCAAGATCTATCAGGCAGATGTCAAGTTTTACTCAGAAGGTGATTGTTGGGTGTTACTGTCATTGGTGCTGCTTTCACTGCCACTAGGATATCTTTATTTTACACATAAGCTCTCTAAATGTCTTGCTTTCAGGTGCATCCACCAGTGATGAGAAGCCGTCAACTTCAAAGAAAGCAGTAAAGCCCATGTACCTGAAAGACTATGAGCGTAAAGTCATACTGGAGAAGGAAGGGTGAGTGAGCTACTGATGTGCATCATTTAGTGTTTGACCACACCACGGTCACATTTCTGGGCCCATATTCATCATGTGTCTCAGATAGGGCAGCACGATATGGTAAAGACATCATACTGCAATGTTTGACAGATACTGCGATTGCAATATGATTCACTATTATTGAGCATCACTAATTCAATCCAAGTACTTCTAAAGAACAAGATTTGCAGGCCAGGGCGTCTCTGCAGCACTACAGTACTAAGTTATAATGCTGTTACACATTTTATCTTTGTCAATAATATTTGGATAATATTTCAATTAATTGTGCATCTGT